CTTTTCTCTTTACCTGCTGCTTTTTTTAGTCTCAGTTTTAGTCCATGTTTTGCTCACAAGTTAAATAATTATTGCTCAGTGTAGTTTAATAATATCCACTTGGCATTTAGGAATAATTAAACCAACACTAATATTTTAATTGTTAAAGCTTCCAGGTTTGCCTCTCAAACCCATAGAAAGGTCCATAAAAAGAAACAGAACAAATTGCATTTTATTTTTCATAAGATCAGCCACTCAAGAAAAGACCAACTACATTCAGAGAGGATGTGCAGAACAGCTCAGTTATCCAGGATTCATAGAGAAGAAACCACAGGGATGCTCTTCTGTTATTATTACTGATCATATTCATTTATCTTTATTTTAGTCCATTGAATATGTTTAAAAACTTAATTTCCATCACACCTTCAAAACTGAAACATCCAGGGAAGTGCTGTCTCCTGTCATGGTGAGTTTTTGTCAATTGTAAGATTGATTGTAACTAATAACATAATGAATAAAGCTTTTTAATCCTTAGCCTATCACCAAATATTCATACACAGTGAATTTTGCATAGGTTTGCACTGGTTCCTGTATCAGTGCCAGTAATCCAGTAATAGCTTATTAGTTCCCTATTGTTTAATTTACTTGAACTGCAGGGAATAATTAATGAACAAAGTTGTGAAATTCTTAGTTTAAAGTATATTTAAGATGCAAGTATTTTAGTTGGGCCCATTCTGCTTTACTTCAATTCTCTAAAGATGTAGAAAATAATGTATATTGTGAGTAAAATGTTCCACATAGCTACAGATCACCTATTGTTATTCAGTAATATTTAATGTGCTATAAAAATTCCACATTTTGCAACTTTGTTACAGTTAAATCCTCTGAAAACCTCCAACCTATAGCTGCACCCATCCTCATCTAACCTTTGGCAGGATTTCCTGTCCAAACTATTTCAAAATCTAACCCCAATGTTTGGTGAAAAGTTGGCAGCCCTGTAAACTATTAAAATTTGTACTGTCAGTCTGCCTTTTTTTTTTTTAAACCCAAATAAATGTCTAATATTTATCTTGTGATTCTCTTAGTTTTAGCTGAAATTTTTTGTCCAGATATCTTGTGAGTTACTTTTGTGTTGGTAATTGTGAATTCTGCAACCAGATTCTGTAGAGATTTTTAAATCTTTACAGAATCTGGTTGGTAGTAAAAATTTGTAGTTAACCACTGCTAACTGTTTCCCTGTGGAGTACTGTATTTATAAGTATCTGCTTTAAATTGGGTATTTTCACAGCTGAGTAAAACCTGCTGTTAACAGCTCCAACTTAGATTTCTAAAGTTACATTCAGATACAAAGCTGTATTAGCTAATAAACAACCCAAATGGTCCTGAAAGCCTAACTAGATGAAACTTACAAACATTAAAGCCGTCTAATTGTCTTCCTAAACATTTCTCTGCAGCTCATCTATCAGTAGTAGATGATTGCACTGCTTTTTCTCAGAAAGTCTTTTTCTTCCTTCTCCACAGATCAGGCCAGTATCTCTCAGCAGGTTGACTCCTCAGGTTCTGTTCTGCACCAGAAGATCATCTCTTCTCTCAGCCTGTTTTCAGCATCGTTCAGCTCACACCTCAATCTTTAGGAGTCGTTGTGAAACCATCACACCGAAAGTCACCACCCTGGTCAGATACTCGGACTTGTCCACGCAGAAATACTCTATGATTTACACCCTGCCACACATTAAGCTCCTCAGAGCTATATCCAGGCTGAAGCTGATTCAGACGGCAATCACTATGGTGCTCTTGCCCTCAGTGTACGTCCTCTACTTCCAAGGACATGTTTCCTTCTTTCTAGTTGGCTACTCATCTGGGATTGCACTATTCGCTGGCGTCATGCTCTATGCGGCCAGTCACGTTTTTAGGAGAGTTGTGGGAATGATGTACCTGGATCCGTCCCAGACTACGCTTAAAGTTTCTCACCTCACATTCTGGGGCAAGCGCCAAGACATCTACCTGCAGGTGTCAGACGTTATGACCATAGGTGACACTGGAGACTCTGCAACTGAGGCTATACTGAAACTAAAGAGATACAGCAGTCCAGACACCTTTTATTTCTCAACTCATTTTGGACGGGTGGTGGATAAAGAAGGCTTTGAAAAGGTCTTTGGAAGTTTAAAATAATTACAAGACAGTTATATCACAGAAAATACTGACTTGGCAAAGATTGCAAAGATGCAATAAAAAAAAAAGATGTATTTTGTTGGCATTGTAAGTTATTAAAATGAAATTGTAAAGTCATTTTTTGTTGGTAGTTTCAGAGATTTTGTTTTCCACAGTGTCTAATAAACTAGGTGGGTTCCTTTTATCGTAATAGCAACAAAGCTGCAGCAAAGTTGTCCTGCATTTATTGTGGCTGAATGAATGATAAATGACAGTTAACAAAAAGAAAGTAGGTTGGTTGATTCCGTTAAGGTTGCACAATATATCAAATCGCAATCTTGATTACAAAATGTGTGTGTAATAAAGCTATGTTGAAATGTCAGCCATGATTTGCAGGATATTTGAAGGGAGTTCACCCTCTGTATAATTGTGACAATTGGTAAGAGGGAATGGGCTCTAACTTCCTTAATTGCTGTGAAATAAAATAAGCATATTTGCACCAACACAACCTGCCTTTTTAATTAAGCTCAAGCTTGCAAACATGCATGTACAGACTCTCATTTGTTTTATTTTTTATCTCAAGCTGAAATTCATGATATACTTCAAAGGTTGGTGTTGGACAGTGGGGGAATTTCCACATAGCATTCTGGTTGACAACTCAAAAATATTTTTTTTGGGGGAGGTTATTGTTGGATCCTGACAAATGGCGCCCCCTGGCGTTTCTAAAGAGTAATGTACTCAAGAGGATCAGAAAAAGATGTCAACAATAAATAAATAGAAAATTTGGGGCTTTCTTTTGAATAACTAACTAAAAAGCAGTTAAGCGTAGACATGTGTAGACAAGTAGACACCTGTTTGTTAAAGAAAATCTACAAGTGTCTTAGTTTTATATCAATTATCCAACTTGAGATATAAATGCAGACATATCTAATATATATAAGTCAATCTTAAATTTTCTCAGGTATGCAATTTTTATATCAGCTAATAAAGGAAGGAACTTGATTTGCTCCCGCTGTGAATCCAAAAAGTATGAATTAAGTTTAGCCATACTCATTTGTGTCTGTGCTCAAGCTTTAAATTATATTTTTTAATTTTTTTTTTTATTATTTTATTTTTTCTATTCTAACATTCTAAAGACAAATAAGCAGAACATCTGAGTGTTTTCGTTCATAAAAAAAAAAAACAACAACCCAGAACCCATTGCGGTAAGATTTAACCATTTTACTGTTCAAAACATGCAAACACATTTTTCAATTCAATAAACACTATCCATGAGCCAATTTAGATTAAATAGCGAATTACATGGCACAAGTTTAAGCTTTTCAATTTTCTCTCCATGAAAAGGTTTTTCTTCACCGAATGTCGACAGAATGCAGCATCCTAAGCATCATGGAGGTGACACAAATGCAAAGTGCAAAATTAGAAAGCTTTATTTTCCTGAAAGGAAAAACTCATTCACTCAGCAAAAAATAGGTCCAACACACCCATAAAACGGTACAATTAAATGCTACAGGTCAATAAGAGTGCATTATATGCAAGGTTATCAAGTCAAACTAAGAAGGGTAAATGTGTGGAGTGACAATCATTTTACAAGCTCACAGAAGGTACCAGGCTGTAAAGCCAGCAAAGAGCGCAACCCAGGCAGCTAGAGCGACCTGACAGGGCAGATGACCCACAAACATCTTGGCTAACTGGAGCGCATAGGAGGGATTCCCACTGATAGCTGCAGAAAGGAGAGGGAAAAGTTTAGACATAGATATCAGATCACATGTTAAATAAAGTGCATAAGAAAAAAAATGATTCAGTACACAATTTTCTCCACTAAGCAACAAAAAAGGGCATCACTGGCATCTAATTCCAAGAAATCCTTAAAATGGAGTTAAACATTAGAGCTCATCCACATTGCATAGGATTAAAAACAATTGATAGAGATTGGTACTTACTTTACAATAGCAATATATTACAATATAATATTTGGTCATTTTAAATAGTAAAAAGATTTCTAGTCACAATCCTTAAATTGGGAACCTGGAAAAACCCAAACAAGCAAACAAGACTATATATATAGTCAAAGAAACAAGAGGAATGACAAAAACAAAGAAAGACTTTTGAGAGGTATGCCATGAGCAAAGGAGACAGGGTAAAGGAGGGAAAGGAAGGACACAAGAAAAGAAAACAAAGATAAGGAATGTGGTTATTACACAAGGAAGGAAGGGGATAAAATCCAGTCATTAAAAAAAAAAAAAAGACTAAAAACAACACAAGTCAGGGATGGACTGAGGAATGAAATGGACGAAAGGCATGAAGGAAAAGAAGTAATAGTGCAAAGATGAAGGAGGGAAACAATAAAAACTGGCAAAGATGAGGTGTGGGCAGCAAGAAAGGAATGAAGAAAAGATAGGAAACAAGGAGATACAGAGAAGGAAGGACACAAAGGAAAGATGGAGCCTCCAATAAATTTTTTTCAATCACGCCTATCCCTGCTGGGGTCGCGAGGGGTGCTGGTGCCTATCTCCAGCTGTCTACGGGCGAGAGGCGGGGTCCACCCTGGACAGGTGGCCAGTCCATCGCAGGGCAACACAGAGACAAACAACCATTCACACACACGGTCACGCCTAACGAGAATTTAGAGAAGCCAATTAACCTAACAGTCGTGTTTTTGGACTGTAGGAGGAAGTCAGAGTACCCGGGGAGAACCCACGCATGCAGGGAGAACATGCAAACTCTATGCAAAAAGACCCCGGGCCGGGAATCAAAGCCGGAACCTTCTTCTTCTACCCACTGTGTCACTGATCAGCCCCAGATGGAGCATAAAAGGATGAAATCACAACATTTAGAATACGAGATAGAAAATACAATCTGGAGATACAGATGTTTCACATACCCATTTATTTTTTTCTAAAACTTCCAGATTATTGAAATCACCCCCTTTACTCTTCTGGACTGTTTTTAAACCCTTCTAAAACACACACACAGACTAAATCTGTCAATTTAGTGACTTCTCCAGGCTACATTAAAAAATCTAGGGCTGAAACAATTAATCAGATTAATCGTGATTTATCAAGTATTGAAATAATCATCAACTAATTTAGTAATTGATTAATCACTAACTAGAGTATAGAGACTCTTAAACATTTCTGTAGCTGACAGAGGAACCCACTTAGAGCAGTAATTATGCCAAGATAGTTAAAAAGATGTATTAAATTTTGAATTTAAGATAAAAAAATTAAGATGTCTCTGTGAAAATGCTCTATCTAGAACTCCTCAAGTGGAAAAGTTTGAGTTTCACCTGGTTTAATTTAATAAAAAGTCTTCTTTGAGGAATCTTTGGCTATCTGATTATTAATCGATTAATACAAAAAATAATCAACAGATAAAATGATTTGCCAAATAATCTTTAGTTGCAGTTGCAGGCCTAAAAAAAAAAAAAATCACAGCAAATTTAAGTTTCTCATTCGTAAAAATCAGAATTAAGTTGTCGTTTTTTTTTGCTATGTTTTGATTTTCCTAACAACTAAACTCTGTTCTCTGCTACTCTATCATGTAGAAATCCCTAAATTTAAGTTATTCCCTTCAGCATCACAAAATAAGTTGAAGTGGAATAGAAACTAAGATAACTTTAGGTGCTATAAATCCCTAATCACTGACATATTGTACCACAAAAAGAGTGTGGGAGACTACTTGTGCAGGAGAAATATTTTGGGTAGGAATACTAAAGGGCCACAGCGATATCTTACCCATTTTAGTAGCATAGTATGGGCATTTGTTGATATCATCTTCTTGAAAGAACTCTCCATGACCATGTCCAAAGTGCCCCTCCTGTCCTTCCTCTTTGACAGATTTGCCGACTTCTTCCAGCTCTGAGAAGACCTGTTCCGAGTAGCAACATCCCCATGTCAGCTTCAAACTTCTGTTTGCTTTTATCCTTCATGCTTACCCACCATCATGTTGAATGCAAAGGCCCGATTGGACTCGTCCACAATCCTTTGTTTGGTCTCCATGTCCATCTCCAGCTCATTCATCCTGCTTCGGTACAACTGCTTAAAGCCCCTGTGGCTGGTAATTCCTTCAAACTGGTAGAAGTTTAGACCCTCCCCTGTTGTTGGCAGCTTCAGAGCCCTTTGGGCCACTTTTTTGAGAATCTGTCCACCTGAGAGATCCCCCATGTAGCGGGTATAGGAGTGGGCTACTAACAGCACAGGGTCCTTCTCTCCCACCTCGTGGATTCGGTCCACATACGGCTTGGTGCCTGCAGAGAGACTGATCTGCCAGAGAAAATGCAGCCATTACAAATTAGCATTTTATCTGTAACAAAGCTTCCTGATGACATAAATTAGTATTAAAGACATATGTCCTTTTCCAAATTCAGAGCAATATCAAATTAGTAGTCAAAGTTAAAATTTTGATATAAAACACTTAACCCTCTCCAGGCAGATGTTGCAGATTTGCAACAGCTAAATGCTACTTAGCTAATTACTCCACATCCATATTTTAAGAGCTTTTGTTCCTCAGAAGTACAAAAGAAGGACTTATTTGTGCATTTGCAACAAACAGTTTCTGTCCAGCTCACCAGATAGCACTGCTGACTAACATTCAAAATGGCTGAGTCCTTGGTGTCACTGAAACGAATTTTCTAAGCACCAATTTCATATAAGTATCACAAAAATTTCCATCATTTTGAAATCAATAGTACATAAGATGAATCATGAATGTGTATAGATATGACACATGCCAATTAGTAGATTTGATCTCCTCGGGTTTTTCACCAGAGGCATCTCGATTTCAATGTTGTGGATTCGCAACGTGTGCCCAAACAGTTACCTACTAGTTTGCCTATATTTTGAGCAACAGTTTAACAGAAACGGCCTTTTCAAAAGGTTTTGAGATGTCGGTGGAGAAAAAGTTTGAGAAAAAGTTGTCTAATTTTGTGAGAGAACATTTTTTTTTTCGAATTTTGTTTTGTTAATTTTTGTTTGTGATGTTCAAATTAAGTTAATGTTCATATCAGATTCAGTCTTCATTGTTAATTTACCACTCCGGGCCAATGTTGAAAATCTGCAACATCCCAGAATTCATTGCATGTGAACATCTCTCTCAAAAAAAAGTCTGAATTGTATATTACTACCCCATATGATAATTTTCCCAAAATATCAGATTTTTCCTGCAACTACAACTTAATTTGAGCCTGAGAGGGTTAAAAAAAAAGTAAACAAAAAAGGGAAAACCTGAATAGAAGCTAATCCATGTCAGCAGAGTAACTGTGTTAAAACTGTTATTTTTTTTTTTTTACTTGGCTTTCCCAGTCCTCTCCATAAAAATATTCCAGGTCTCGGGCCAGGGCCTCTTGACGGTGCAGCTCAGTTGGAAAATAGATGGGGGCGATATAAGGGTGATCTTTATTCTTCTCTATCTCCTCCTCCATGGCGGAATAGACAAAGTACAATGCTGCAGTTCCTTTCTGTTGAGAGAAAAGGAAAAAAAAAAAAACAAATGGCTGAGATTTTTTTTCAATAATGTGAGCACGATTTCTATGATTTCTGAAATATGCATGATTTCTGGACATGATATCTTAAAATGTCTCTTTCTGATATATTATTTTTTAAAGACTGGAATTTTGTTTTTATGGAACAAAGATTGCTTTTAGGAAAATAAAGACGGGTGGTGGATACTGTGCAGCTGGAAGATTTATTCTTCTTACATCTTTTTATTTTGGAATAATTGTTATGGCAAATTAAAATAATAACTAGTCCTCCTCTATATCTGAGAGCTTTTTATCATCATTTTAAAAACTGAAATAAAACTTCAGCTACATCTTTGAATCCCAGATGAGTGTAAAAGGATGCAGAGAATGAGAGGAAAAATGAAGGAAGAAATTCAAGCCATCTTTTCCATCGATTATCATGGGAAATATGAAATCTTTTGGAAATGAGCTGGATAAAGTCTAAGCATACATCACTGCAGGATGACATTCCCTACGCCAGCCTCTTTCTGCAGGGCTTTTTAACCATATGAGAGAAATATTTAAAAAAAAGCGAACAAAAGGAAAGGAGATGGATTAGCAGTGCTTGGGGGCAACAGATACTGTCAATGACAGTGTTATTTTGGCAATAATTTATGCTTAAACATCAGCTTTTGACGAGGTGGGTGATGTCTCAGTGTTTGCTAGGTTACAGACACAACACTCCAGTGTGTTTGTGCAATATGTTGTGATTTCAATCAAGTCTCAATTTCTGCTACACTTCAGCTCATTAAGTGGTTGTCGGCCACTCTACCAGAGAAAACAACATTTTGTACCAGTCTTGATGTAAATGTCAAGGACTCATATATTTCTAAAGCAAGGCATCCTCTGAGTACTTTAGATCACGTTCTCATTTTTGTCTGCTTAGAAAATAAGTCTCTCTTTTAGAGGCTACCTGTAATAAAGTGTGTGAGAAATGTGAGAAGATAGTCACAGAAAGCTAATAAAGCCCTGCTAGGCTGTTTGGAGGTAAATAGACTCTGACACATTGAAAGGACATCTTGTTTAAGCGTTTAACTGGATGTGTAACCTGCGTCTCAAAGTTATGAGGGACAGAAACAGTGAGGAAAGTATTTGAACACCCTGCTATGTTGCAAGTTATCCCACTTAGAAATCATGGAGGGGTCTGAAATTGTCATTGTTGGTGCATGTCCACTGTGAGAGACATCATCAAAAAAAGGCATCAAGAAATCACAATATATATATTTTTTTCTTATTTATTTGTATGATACAGCTGCAAATAAGTATTTGAACACCTGTATGTCAGCTAGAATTCTGTTAATCTGCCTTCAAAATGTCGCCCTTCACTCTA